TGTTTAAAATATTAATTACTTACTATCTCAGCTCTGACATTTATGTGCTTCTGGTGTGACTGCCTCAGACAGTATCACAGTTTTGCAATATTATAAACTTTATAAACCCACTGATAGGCATTTCTTAATAATGGTTGTTTTGCAGTGCCGTAAGCAGGCCCTTTGTGTCAGTCAGATTAGCCTTAGCTCTTTGTGCCGAGATTCTGCTGTGTAATATTGGGGGTTGCTTTTCACTTAGACTCTTGGAGTTCAAACCCCCAAATTGGTTGTCATCAAGGAGCATGTTAACTCACACCTGGCTGTTTGTGTGGCTCTTTCAGTATTAGATCTGAGAGTTCATTGCCTGACTAGCTGTGATGGTGCCCTTGGCAATGGCAGTTTGGAGATAAAGGTGTTACTGGACTGAGCTCCCCAGAGCATAACCTAATCAGAATGAGACAATTAACAGCGATAAGAGCCGATTTTTGTTTGGTTACTTTTACTACTTACTACAAATTTAATTTGTGTATCTTTTATTTATTTTAGAAAATGTAGGATGGCATGAAATATGCATTAAAAGGTATAGCAAGTTAACAGAACCCCTTCATAAGAACCATGTACATCTGTGAGTGTGGAAGGCTATGTTTGAAAACAGACTGATGACCTGAATAATGTGGTAATGGGATGGTTTGTAAAAATTCATTATGCTGGCAACTAGAATTTCCAGTGTTAGTAGTGTGGTTACTTATTGTTTAATCAGTAGCCTGCTTAATCTTACTAACCCCTCTTATTGTTAACCTTCCTAACTATTGTTAGTAATCAGCTTATTGTTAATAAGCCCCAACTATTAGTAGCAAATTTTGAGCTGTGCAAGTGAAAAATATCCTTGGTTTTAGTTCTGTTGACACTTGGCTTCCATGGTACCATTTGTGTTCATGAAATTAGATGCGGTCTCATTTACAGTCTTAATTATCAGAAAATAACAGTGGTTTTTTGCTTTTAAACATCTGTCTTCTCTGTACTACAGCCACTTAAGCATGTGGGGGGTTTTCTCATGTGGCTAATCCTGGGATGTGGTTCTGTGAGACACTGACCATAACCAGCCAGCACTGAAAGGATGAAGTCCTGCTTGTCCCTGTTGTCTCCTAACCTCACCCCCTCCTTTTGGCTGGGCTGTTTTAGTGAGTTCATTTGACTCCAGGGAAGGGTCTGAAAAACAAGGAGGAAAAGAGGGGAAAAGGGAGGACAGAGCTTGTGCTCTTCAGGCACAATCAAGCTGTTTTATATGCTCAGCTGTCTGTGAAGGGATTTGCTCTGTGAGTAAACATGATGTACTACTGAAGTATGCAGAGATGCCCAGTCATACTGGATTGGACATTTATTTCTGTGTGCTTGTGCACACTTAGCACAGTGGGAGCACCCTAATACTGTTATTCCTTAATACAAAATTAATATTTAGAGCACTACATTGGGTCCTACAACTTCCTTTGTATCGGTGCAGTTTGCCTTACTCACATGATCCTCTATTTCTCTGCTGCTTTTTAGTATACAGTAGGGATGGGAATTTTTCTGATACTATTATCAGTCTTAGTTCTCATCTGGCATTCCTCAAATACCTGAAATTTCTATTGAAGAAACAATTTTTGAGTTTTTGGCTTTTTTTTTTTTTCCTAAAACCAAGTAATCACCAAAATATTATACAACCAGAGATGTAAGACTGAAATTCCACTGAGGAGTGAGGAGGACAGACCTCAAACCGTTTCTAATTTTATCTGCATGTTAACGTTTGTAAAGCATGCAGCTGCCATATTTTGCAATAATGGACTAGTTAGTATTCCTGGACAAATGTATTCTGCATACAAAACTGCTGTTTGACTTAAATTTGTGGGCAACTGTATAGACATATTTTTAGAGATAATTTTTAATATATATTTTGATCTTTAGAATGCCCATTATCTGCTAAGCTCAGGCAAATATTTTGCTTTCTGCCATTCAGAAGCCTGAGAATTCTAAATGAGACTATAATTAAATAGTTTCAAAACAGTGATGACTTTAAACACTTTCTTCAGGAAGTCAAATTCTTTTGGTATTCTCTGATTTTGGAGCAGCTGTAAGAGGTAATGACGTAATAATTTTTTCCTTGAAAAGAGAATGTTATCTCCTGCTTGATCTTATGGTAACTGTACTTGAGAAAATGATTTCTAGAGGTATTGGTACTGTGCATACAAATGCTTGAGAAGTGTGGGTAAATTTGGAAGGCAAACCAAAAGATATAAACACTCCCTGATGAGGAGTGGTTGTCTGCTCAAATCTCAAGATGTTGTGTAACAGTCCACAGCAGCAGCTGTTCTTGCTCCCATAACCTCGCTGGAGACCAGTTGGGTATCATGCTTTTGGAGCCTGTGTTCTGGTGTTAGCTGGGATAGAGCTAATTTGTGGGGGTTGTTTTTTTGCCTTCTAGCAGCTAGAATAGTGCTGTGTTTCAGATTCAGTATGGGATTTGATACAAGAAGAATGATGATAACATACAGGTGTTTTCAGTTGTTGCTAAGAAATCAAGGACTTTTCAAAGTCCTTTGTCCTGCTAACATGCAAGTACACAAGAAGCTGGGGAGAAACACAGCCAAAGCAACAGACCTGAGTTGGCCCATGGAATATTCCACCTCAGGTAACGTCATGCTCAGTATATAGATGAGGGTTGTCCGGGAAGCTTGATCTCACTGCTGAGATTGTGGTTTCAGGATTCTCTCTTGTGTGATCACTAGCCAGGAACAGGCTGGGCATCAGTCAGCAAGTGGTGAGCAATCATATGGTGCATTACTCATTTGTATTTTCTATTATTACTCTTATTATTTGAATTTTATTTCCAATACTAATTTTTTTTTATCTCAACCTACAAGTCTCCTTACTCCTCCAGTTCTCTTCCCTACTCCCCCAGGGTGGGGGCAGATGAATGAGTGGCTGCCTGGTGCTTGGCTGCCGGCCAGGTTTAACCCATGACAGCCTGTTTTTCAAAGTTGGACACTTCCATTTTTTTAAAGGAGTGTTCAGGTGGCACTTCTATGTTAGTTTTCAAAATTGTTATTGACTTCCCTCAGAACAATACCACAATGTTACACTTGCACCCAGAAAACACACAATATCCAAGGCTTCTTCAAAACATAGTATATATATAGGTAAATATATAGAGAGTTTGAAATATATATAAATGGGCTTTATAAGCAGCCTGTCAATATTAACACTTTAGGACTGTCAAGTTAGATGGGCGTGGGTGCTCAACAGTCACTCAGGGCACTGCATCTGGCTGTAACAAAGTAATTTTTATTTCCATGTGGGCCTTGTATTTCTATTTGGTTTCCTTGGCAGTTATGCTCCTTTTCCTAAGGAATTTGCTATGGCTAAAAACATACCATCTCTGATGTCTGTAAACTTCAGTAAATGCAGCTGGCTTGTTACAGTGCAGGCCCTATGATCTCATGACCATTTTCAGCCCTGGTTCCTCAGATATTAGATCCTTTCCCTAGCAACTGCGCTGCCTGTGAGCGCTGAACTTCCAGAATCTGCATCCCTTTCCTGGGATGTGTATCCCCTACTCATGATACACATGTGCAAGCCAGTGCCTTGCAGCCAAGCGATAATACTGACCCCGCAGGCTGCCTCTATCAACCTTCTCCAGCTTCTCTCAGTGGGAACCTGTGGCAGGTGGGAGCAGATACATGGGAGGGAGAAGCCTGGTATGGATTTTCCAGCCACAGCTATCGCTCATGTTCAGTACCATGAGAATCACTTAGAAAAACCCAGAATGGGATCTGTAGCATTTGTGGACTTAGAAAACCCTCCTTCCAGTCTTTCTGGAAATATTGTGCCAGTCACATCCTTTGATTCCGCTGCCTTTTTCATGATCACATGTTGTGGTACAATAGCTGTTGCTCAACAAGTCAGCTAGGGGTGTCTCCTTACAGCTTCAGGTGATGAATTCCCATTGAAGAAATGTTATTCTTGCACTTCAAAATTATTATTTAATACTACAGTCTACATACAAAGTTATCCTCTTCTTCCCATGTGGTATTTTTAATCCTTTTTTTGGACACACCTTTCTCATTTTCTTTGCAAATTTTTTAACATTTCTACTTTTGTGCTGTGGCCATTAATTAAAATATTAAGACAGAATATTCAAACATCTGTGAGAACTGTTTCTATTTATCTCCCTCCTGCTAGGTAGCTTCCCAGAAAGCATAATTCATCGTCATTTCTCCTTTAATGAGCTGCTTAACTTTAGAATACTTCTATTATATCAACTTATGTGAATCAAATGACTTTTTTCCTCCATGTTAACTGCATCAAAATGTTTTGAGTTCTGACAAAGTACTACATATTCTATTCTCCTTTCCTATGGTACCATTCTGCATCTTGGTAATTTACCAAAATTTTAACCTGCATTTGCATGTTCATGTTGAGGTTCTTGAGTTTTTTCTTTAAATACAGTAATTTGCATTTCAGTGCCATCATCCTATTAGTTTCTTCCTGTTTTGTCTAAATATTAAATCATTCTCTTGACATAAAAAGACTCAAATCATGACTTGGATTTTAGGCCAGCCTATTATTCATCTCATGAAAGCGTGGTGCCCATGCCTCTTATTGTTTGTTTCATGAATTTTTCACTGCTGTGCTTTGCTTCATGAGGTTTAATTCATCCTGACCTGTCTCTCCCTATTTTTGTTCTGTGCTCTGATTTATTTTCTTTTTGCTATTTCTTTCATTTTTGATTCATTATTGGAATGCTTCTCCCTTTCTTGTTTGTAATGCAATTTCTGAACAGTGTTTTTACTTAAATTTCATGATTTAAAAGTCTGTGCTGCTCAAAGTGATTTCTATAACTTGTTCCTTTAATAACAGATTTGATTTTTTTCTGATTTGAAACCTCTTCAAATAACCTTTATGAGAAAAACATTATTTAGAGCTCTTCTGCTGCCTTTCAAAAAATTTTATATACTAAAGAGACAAATATCAGTTACATGTGACTACAAATTCAATAACCTATTGTACAACTCTTCAGAATTACAGAATAATGACAAGCACGAGCAAACTAACCTTGAGTTTGTATTGTGGTCTTGTCAGGTATAACTAGAGATTGCAAACTATAGTTGTCCTCGTGAAGTAATGATTAATACTTTCACGTATGACATATATACAATGAATATTTTATTTAAGTAAAAAGATGTTTCAAATCCCCATTAGATATGCTCACACTTCACAAATAAATAAAAGCAATAATGATAAAAAACTTCCAAATATTGTTACATTTTCTCAAATTCAGAAGAAAGAAATAACAAGAGTTAGTGCCCTTGCATGCAGCTTAGAAGAAAATAAAAATTGTTATTGTTAGTCATTGCAGATGCTTTTGCAAACCTGGTATTTTAACAAATGTATTTACCATTCAATGAATGCATTTTTAGCACATGTGCAATGCTGCATTTTACTCTGTCCTGACAAAGCTTGTTTGAAATCCTTGCTTGTGGTGCATTATGTGGATGCATTCTTTTATTATCTCTCCTAACACTGCATACAACAGGCTAGCAAGAAAGCTAGTAATAGTAGAAGGTACTACTACTAAGAAAAAAAAACAAAAACAAACCAAACAATTGCAAAAAACCATTTGCATTCTTGTGTAGTAGCTTAAGTCCTCAGTAGCAAGTGTGTAAGAAACTAAAGACCTTCTTTCCATACTTTCATGCAACTAGAGTTCCTGGGCTATGTTTTTACCTGATGTAGTAAGAATCTTTACAGTGTATGTTTACTGTCTCAATAAAGAAATTCAAAGATTATTGTCAGCACTTGTTATTATGTTATGAAGGATTGATTTTACATGACCATGGGAAGAGCTCTTCAAAACAAAATGGCGTTGAAGGAAGAGTTTTGAAGCCTGGTTGTACAGTAACAACTGTAGTGTAACATATTATTCTACTGACTTACTCTTCTACCTTACTTAAGCGCTAACAGTCTCTGTGAAAATTTAAGTGGATCCTCTCAGTATATTCTAAGCATTTTTTCCTCTACAGGGAGAGCCTTCAGTGACTGCAATACTGTTCTACTACAAACAATACTGCAATATTTTAGTTGGACAAAGTAATTGAGTTGATATAATAACTTGCTTCCTCCAAAAGCAGTAATCCTTTTTGGCCCTGGCACTCATCTGACCCATCTCTGAGTCGATTCAGCTCACTTAAGTAGGCAGAAGACAAATCCCATGGGAGGAGGAGGAAGGAGGAACTGAACAGATTTGGCTGTCTCGTCTGAGTGTACATCAAGTGGTCTTCCTAGCAGATGCTCTGCTAAAAACAATCAGAGAGCTTGCACAACAAGCTCTGGTCTATTCATTGCTGTCCTAGATGTTGCAGGAACAGACCCCAGAAGTACTGAAATGTTTGAGACTAGGAGGCACCAATAATGGCCAATTATTACTCCAAAATCTCATCTGACTTTGTCAGCACGTAGAAGGAGCTGGAAGTAAGACCTCAGTACTTACCAAGACAGCATGCAAGACACTGTTAGTCAGCAGTGGCTGCAGTTCATTTCATTTCAGAGGGTGCGCTAATGTCACAGAAGACTAAAAAAGATATATATAAAAGTAAATTCTTCTCTTGGTGGAAATTAGTAACTTGATCTTTCTTACTGGAAAACAGACGTTTCTGTGCTGGAAAGACTGTTAAGCTAAGAGGTTTAAATTCACAGAATTTTGTATCCATAGCAAAGTCCCAAGTTTGTCTTTGGTGTCTATTTCACTGCCAGCAATGAAAATAGGTTCCTGAGCACCGGGGCCATCCTGTCTGCCTTCCTTTCAGTCTGCTTCCTCCTCACTGGGTTTCTCTTCTGAATCATCATTTTCATATTCCTCGTCCTCATATCTGAAGGCACCCTCAGCTTCAGAGTCAGACTGACCTTCCTCTTTAGGTTCAGGGGACTGGTTAGACCGAGAGCTGGGTCTTGACTGATCCTCATCCCCCTCCTGGGAATGGCCAAGCATTAGACCTGTCTTTGCTTCCTCTTCCTCCTCCTCTTCACATTGCTGGTCAGAGGCAGGGCTGGACCCAGCAGAGCAAAGCTGATGAGCGTAAGGGCTGGCTCTTGACTCTTCCTCATCCTCCAGCTCACCGGACTGGCCATCTTGGGTAGAGGTTTTGACACCTTTTCTCTTCTCTCCCTCCTCTTCCTCCTCCTCACAGGACTGCTCAGACCAAGGACTGCTATCAGCTGCTTCCTCAAAGGATTCTCTTTCTTTCACTTTAGCCTTGCTGACCCTGAAAAGACAATTTGCCTGTATGATTTCATTTTCAGGTAAGATGCCTCCCAGTAGGTTTTAAAGGAGTACTGCCTTCAGGTAATCTAGGACAAACCTCCATAGACTTGGCTGGGGTGGAACTGGTGAAGAAAAAGGGAAGAGGGGACACATAAAAGGAGACTCCTCCTTTTATGCTACGAAGTGACTCAATAGTATTGCTTATATAGTTCATTTTTTTCATTTCTACTCCTTTTTGTATCATAACACCTAATGGATATTGAAAAGTAATTTTTAATAAAGCTTATTTTAAAAATTCAGTAAAGGTAAAGCAGAATGAAGTAACTTACTAGCAGCCTGCCAATTGTTTTGGTGAAATGGATAAATAAAAAATAAAAAAATGTTGTTCTTCATTTTTTTTTCTTTGAAGTGCACTATGTAACATATCCACTGCTCTGTTTTATTTATAAAATAATAATTCAGGAAAAACATTAAAAAATACATACTAATGCTAACATTACTAAAAGTAACTACATAGTCAAATATTTACCTGTGAAATACTACAACTAATGTAAAAAAAAATAATCAAACCCACACATCAAAAATTACTTTCTAATTATTAGGTATGTAGTGGCAAAAAGAAAAAAGCTTTCAGTAATCTCTACCTTTCTCTGGCATCAGTGGAGTTACTAAAATCTTCAGCACAGGAGCCCTGTAGCAATTTAGTTGTTTGTCCTTTCTTTGAAACAAACTCTGGGCATATCCCCAGTGCTCTCAGTCTGTTAGAGTAACGCTTTTCTGCAGCTATTCTGGCATTTTTCTGTAGGAAAACCACAGTGGTTATGTGTTATCTAAATGCATTGCTAAATGCCGGTCTTTTGATACATTTGTTTATATTCATACTCCATTTCATTCATTGCATCTGACAAGTTGAAGGATTATTCATTGCAGGTAATAATGGCAGAACAATACTTGCAATCTTTACACCAGATTTTCCTTTTCTGTACTAGTTGAAATGTGGTTTGCTCCCTGTGCCCACTGGCTAATGAAGAGCTATATCCTCTGTATATAGCTATTGAAGAGGTGGAGGAAGATGTGGACATGTGAAAAAAATCGAATGTAGTCTTCCTAGGGCTTCTCCATTATTCCCTCTCCACCTCCTCTGTTTTCCCTCTCTGGGAGCTGCTGCCCTAGAAAAGTAGTATTGATCCACCTTCTTACAGTGCTGTTTAACAAATGACATAGATATGTACCTCTTCCTCTGAAACTGAGGGTGTAAATTCTGTTCTCCAGGCAGTATCTGAGTGAGGAGGACTCATCCTCCAATCTACACAGATGCTCCTGCCCTGCAGCAATGGCAGGCCAGGAAGCCCACACATACAGAAGGGACAAGGGAAGCCATGATCTGTGACTTGCTGTCTCTCTGGGTTTGGAAACAGGTCAGGGACCATGCTGCCTGCACGTGGTTGTACTGAAATGGAGAGATAAAAATACTGCATCTGAACTTTACAATAAACACTAACAATACCTGAATTTTCTTATCACTGTTTTCCCAACTTAAACCTCTCACATTTTTGCTTTAATTTTTTTGTTGTGTTTAGAGTTACTCATGTTGTAACTGAATGGGAAAACACGTTTAGAACAGGCATCTCTGTTCCTTGTGCAAGCAAGCCATGAATGCCGAGTCACCAAAATTAGTAATGTTTATATGTAGATGGGGCAACGGAGAATGAAATGGACTAATACTGGTCTCAAAAGTATTTTTCAAATATCTTTAAATATTTTTGACTACAAATGCCTTATGCAGTATTAGAAGGTAAGATTAAGAAGCAAGGCAGAAGTAAGACAACCTGAGTGACTCTTTCAAAAAGCAATGGCCTTTGATTTACTCGTTCTTCCATTTCTTGCAACTCTTGCAAATATTCTTGCATTCTCTGTTTTTCATAATTCCTAAGGGAAACAGTGCACAAGAGAAGTTATTATTATAACACAAGAAGTCATTTTCTACAGCAGCTGAAAGCTAAATTGCTCATAACAAACTAAATGTTGTCCTACTTAGATACATAAAAGGTTAATTATTTTACGGTGATTACAGGGTCTGAGGTATATTGTCACATTTTCATAGCAGTTGCTTCCCTGTAGGTACTGAACAAAACTGTCTGAAGCAGTCACTTTGGATAAGCAGAGATGTCCTGGCTGGTGAGGTTAAACAGAGGCTGAGTTTGGAGTCTTAGTTTCTTTGAGTGCTTAGGAGTGTGCGGGGGGGGTTGATACCCAGGGTTTTTTAAATGCTGAGTTAATACAGTTATTCTAATTTTTCTAAACAAAATTAAAGAGCTTGAAGTGACTAACAAAAGCAGAATAGACCAGGAAATTAACATCATTAAATAAAAATCAGTATTTTTAAGGTAAGTTTGATAAGAATCTTGCTACTTTACCAGTCTGTCTCACAAGAGGGGTGGCTGTATTCTGGATCACAGTACACTTTTTTTCCCTAGTTGGTTTGTCAAGGGCCCAGTCAGTAGAGCAGGATGATGAAACTTGATTCATCAACTGAAATGGTATCTCAGATCACAGCAAGCACTAGATCACTCAGGTAGCATGGGCTGTAATCCAGGGGTGTGACAGACACCTCTTTGGGATGCTGCCTCTGTACTGGGCCTGCTCTAGCATTAAGGGTGTTTTATGAGAGGTAGATTTCTCTCTCCACTGACCTCTTTCCTTTACCATCCTCTGTATTTCTGCAATATGGCTGTGCATTAAGGCAAGTTACTCCTCATTTTAAGGGAGTGAACTTCATTGTTGCTACTTGCTTGCTCTCTCAGGCGGCTTTCTACAAACCTAATTATCTGTTAGAAGAGCACTTACATTAATAAACCTTATTACCCAGCCTATGCTGAAATAAGCACTATCAAGTTAAGCACTTGTACCAGCCTTAATGCATCAGCACTAGGGAGGTAATCTTGCTTTGTAATACCACAGTTTTATGCGCAGACAAGAAATAAGCAGAGTGTTTTACGCTACTCCTGAAATCTGATTAAGCTAAATACTGTAATATGAAGTTTGCTGTTGAATGAACTCAAATCCAACCTGTAAACACACCCACTGCCTCTCTTAATTCTCCACCCTGCTACTGTAACTCAAATTGTTTTCTGCTTCTGTCCTAGAGTCAGCGGATCATCTGCCCAAGGACATGTACATTATGAAGCTCCTGTTATTAACAGTATCTGCTGGTTGTGTTACAAAAACGAGCTCTGGCTGTAACAAAATAGTTAGAAGAGACTGCCCTCTTTGACCTGCATCTCTACCACTGCATCCCTGCTCTCCAGGCCCCGTGCAAGCCCTGCTTCTTCCCACGGGTGCTCCAGCTTCAGCTGTCTTTGGGGGAGATGGTAGGTGGGCACAGATGTGGGCTGGATAGTCACTGCCTGCCCCCATGACCAAGCAAAAGGCCTGTTGCAATGCTGCTTCTAGCATATCTCAGCTGAGCCACTGCACTTCCATGCTTTCAGCATCTAAGAATGTGTGTGCTTCAGTTTCTGCTCCGTTTTCTCTTTTTGGCCACAGTGAAGGCACAATGGTGGTGAAAAACCATTACAAAGTTTGCTGGTGGAATTATGTGCAGTATTGTCTCGCAGGTGGTGCTGTGCTATTTCAGCAGATTTGCTTGTAACAGCCCAGAGTTTATAGTATAAAGATTATAGTATATTTATAGTATAAACAATAAATCCACAGCTTTCTAGCTATAAAGAAAGAAGAGACCTACATGAAGAAAGAAAAGAATGAGAAAGCCTTATTTTTTTACCTTTCAACTTGCAGCTATAAAGACAGCCAGAGCCTCCACCCTCATTTCAGAAAGATCTCTATTCTAAACACCTTGAGGTTTAGCATGTTAACTTTAAAGTTGCTAGGCCAAGCTATGAATCTCATAATCATGCATATCTCATGATCTTTTGTATTGTTTTGCCCTGCTACTGTCACTTACTTATAATTTGCCTGGTTAATGGAAATTAGGATTCATAGTTGCTGCCCAAGAATCCTGCCTACGCATGAAGCAGCAAGGGCAGATCAGTCAGTACCTCTCACTGGCTCCACACAACAGCACCTGAAATGGATGATACTGCTGCAGTGCCATCATGCCAAGACAGGTTATAAACCTCACTAAAGACTCAAACAGGACTTTTTTTTTTTTTTTTTTTTTTTTTTTTTTTTTTTTTTTTTTTTTCCTCGGATTAAAAAGAACAGGAAGCAGAAATAGTTAAATTAGCCACAACACAAGGTCAAGCGGTGATTCTGGAGTTAGATCAGCAAGAGAGAGCTGGAGCCACCTGGATGGCTGTCTTACAGCACACTGAGAAGGCCCTGATGTTTTTCCCCGTGGACTACTTTTCTCAGTTGTGTAGGAAGTCTTTCCTTTGTATCCCTACTAAAGTTAACTCTGGATCCCATTTCTCCTAAGCACCAGCAGCTTCCTGGTTAGCTGTTGATACATGTGCTAAGATAAAATAATATTCCTGCTATAATATTCTCTCTTAAGCAGGGACCTGCTGGGACAAAGAAATGAATTGTGAAATGTTCACTATTTTAGGAGACAGCTACCACCAAAGTTGTACCAACATATCTATCAATCCAGCACAGGATTTCTGTACTACACTATTCCTTCTCTTTTAAACTTTTCCTCTTTAGTTGATATGTCAATTGAGAAAACACAGGAATCTCCTGTCAGCTAATCTATAAGGTGGAACATATAGATTAAAATCATTAGAAGGGGCAACAATTTTTCAGTTGAAATACTAAATTTGGCCCTTTTTTTTACTGGCTGCTTCTACAATGTATAATTTACCAAATGTGTAATTATGTAAACTTAGACTACACTATTTTTTTACATTGTATGTTTAACATACAATGTAAAATGAGAGGTTTGGGATTCATGGGAATGTGACAAAATACCTGAATGTTTTTAATTTGGATTTAGACATCTGAGCTAGGCTCTGATGTGGGTCATTGGCCTCAGCCCGAGCTGTTACAATTTTCTGGAGTTTTTTCGTTCTTTGTTTCTGCTTTGTTCTGTTCCTTTTTTGTTGTTCTTCCAGATTTCTCTTTTCCTCAAGTGAATTCCTGATGGAAAAATAAACTAAAGCTGAATTAATTTTAAATTGAGAGAAAGACTTGAAAGGAAGTTTTGACAAAGGAGACTATAAAGAGAAAAAAGAGGGTGAAAACAGGGTTGGCATGAGAGGATACATGGTATGTACCCTTTTAAGGGATTCAAGCATATCCTGGGAAAGAGCAGTCATTTGTCCCTTTTCTATGGACATTCAAAGGAAAATACACTACTATTTCTTTAACAATCATAAATAGTAATTAAGCCCTAAATTTAAATATTTTGTCATATAATTAAGCCCTTACATTAATAAATTCTGTCATTATATTCACTGCATGAAAAAACTGACTACATGGGTAGAAATACAAAAGGAGTCTACTCTTAAAGTTTATGTAAAATGTAGAGCATCACTAAAGGGGTCACCTTATGGCTTGTAGCCGTCGTCTTGTAGATTCTGTGATTTTTGGCAATTTAGATTCTCCAAATCCCGAGAGATGTGAATTTGCACTTGAATGTCTTATTTGAGGTTTCCGTCTTGGTGAGGCATAAGGCCAGCGTGTTTCTTTCAACTTTTCTTCATCTTCTTGAATGTCCTTCAAAATCTTCTCCTTGTTTGAGGGAATATATGGGGTACAAAGATCAAAAGGTTCACAGACTGTAAGGTGTTTCACTTGTCTTTGTTGCATGAACTGTTTCTGAAATTTCTGGTGTAGTCGTTCAAAATCTGGAACACTTGATTTGATCTTGGGTTTATGTTCTGTTTGCTTTGGTTCAGTGCCCTTGTGTTTCTTTTTTTTACTGGTATCTTTTAAAGCCAGCCTGCTGTTGGGTAGAGATGAATTACGCAGCAACTCTTCAGCTCTCATTCTGATCCTGATTTCTCTGTAGAGCTCTTCCTCCTTTAGCTTGTCATTAACTGCTGGACTATAAACACATTTAGGAACTGGTTTTGCTTTGAACAGGTTTGTTTTCTTTTCAGGTACGGAAAGGTCTGTTAATTGCCTCTTCCTAATTTCACTCCTTTGCTTCTCTCGTTCAAGGAATTTAAATGGCTTCTGAGAAGCCAAGAGTTTGAGTTTGCTTCTCTCTTTCACAGACCTCCTGCGTTCTTCGTTTCGTTGCACAATTTCACGATAGAGTGGAAGGAAAACGGTAGCGGGCACTGGGTTGGCTCGGAATTTTTTCTGACACTCTGCTTCTTCCTCTAGTTGCTTCTTCAATAAATTATTTTCCATTTCGATCTGTGACTTTGATTTGACATTCTGTTCTTTTTTTCTAGCTTCTCTAATAGTCATCTGGAAAGGCTTGGGCACAGTCACTTTTGGTGACCATGCCTCCTTCTTCTGTATCCTTCTGAAGGCTGGTGAGCTTGGTGTGCTGTGTCTGGCGTGAGAGATGTAGTCTTCCACAGAGAACCCGTCCCACATTTTTTCAATCCGTTGCTTAGCAAATACAGATGATCCCGTTTCACTACCATTTTCTTCAAACATTAATTCTCTGTCAGACCCATCAGATATGCTTAAGCCTAAGGGATCGCTTACATCAGAGTCTGAAAAGGATTCGTGCAAATCTAGAGGTTGATACGAGCTCTTTTCCCAAGTTGGCCTTTAAAAAAGGGAAAAAAAAAAAAATTGGTTTTGAGTCCAGTCCAACACTGATGCAAAGCCAGTAACTTTCACTTCAAGGTATCAGCATTAGAAACAAAAATGAACAGCACTGGTAGGGAGGAGGAGAGGGGGAAGAGAAGGAAAAAGAGAAGCATGTTGGACACTCACACCAGACCACAGTTTTAAGTGCCGATCATGAACAAGTCAGCACTTCTTCAGGAAAGGTGCTGTGGGTTCCTAAACATGTTGCCCAGTCTCTGCTGCACACACACCTGTAAATCTCACAAGTCCATTAGAAAGGCAAATAAGCATTTTTATTATTAAAACTAACTTCTCTGAGATCTGCTTATAGGAAAGGGGGAGAGTAACACTTTCCAGCCCCAGAAAAAGAAACACACCTACTGTTTTACACATCTGCAAAGCATTTGAGAATCTTCAGAGAAAAGGTACCACCAAACTTACCTACAACACCTGTTAGAAGCAGCATTTTTCTTGTCCAGGGGTTGTACTCCTTTTAAATAGAGTTTATTCTGATACATACTTTCTAATTTTGCCATGGTCTCCAAGTGGGCATTCTTCAGCTCTTCTAGCTTCAAGTAATATTCTTGATTTGAATTGCACATTTTGGAAAAGTCTATGAGCTTGTCACAGTCTCCATTTAGAGAGAGGGTCTGCTGCTCTCTGTCGGTATTTGAATCCAAATCAAAACCATCCTAGAAGAGATGTTTGTAAAGTTTTCTTACTGTTAGAAGAAAGGCGAACAAGATTCTTGATACTGCTTTATCCTAATTAAGTCTAATAAATGACAGAGTAACACCAAATGTTAATGAGGAGTTGCATGGAATAATCTTATTGCATAATAATTTATATCCTAAGGGCCCTATTTAAAGCATGTAAAATTCCTAAGTCTGTCCCTGTAATCAATATATTTATACCAGAAAATATGATCAAAAGAACTTGCTTATCAAAAGAAAAGTTCAACTATTTTGTAAAGTGTAATTTTTCTTTTCCTCTGCAGCTCTAAAAATGCCTTTATTTAAAAGAAAACAAAACTGATACCCTATACATGTTTATTCCTATTTCCATGATTTCACGGTGAAACGTCAGGGATTCTGCACAGCTTACAGTTACAATACTTTTT